AGAATTGGTCCCGAAGGTATACAGTGTCATTTGCACAGAAATGAGCAAAATGGATCAAAAAACGTTATTTTTTCATGCTCATGGCGTCAACGGGTTCGCAAGTCGTACATCGACCGGCGCCACTCAGTGTCAAGGTCCGCAAACCAAATAACGGAGAGCGGAATTTTGGCTAGGTTGTGTGGGTTGTGGTCTTCCCTTCCGACGACAGTGTCGGGAACATAAGATCGACAGAAACTCGATGAATGTGCCTACCTGGTAAGCCCCAAGAAGGATAGAATCGGTTGTGGGTTGTTAAAGGGTTTCGAGCAACACTATGAGTAGTGTATTACGCCTACACAGTGAGTTTATTTTTGGGCAGCATTCGACAGTGCGCAGGATTAATGTTCCCGCATGCTAATATTACTCCCACCACTCTTCTCACCTTTCCTTAACGAAATAGTTCGTGTAAACTTGCCTTTCATATTCAACAAGTGAAAAACAGAAACATATTGAAAAGTGAATATATAAATAATTTTTGATAGTTCTGTTTTCATTTAGTGATGCACGCCATTATTTAACTATCATTTGAGTATGTTCCCCAAATAATCTGAGTGGCAGGAACTCGTTGGCTGTTTTATGAAGTCAATAGGCCAAGGTTAGTCCAGTCGACAAGGAAAGCCTCCCCTGAGTACAACCTTTCAAATATTTGTCTAGCGCACGAATGCTAAAAGCTCCAGATCGAGTAATATTTATCTTATATTGCTTTGATGTCTGTAGGTCATTCTGTACCAAGCGTCCTTGATGATAATAAGTCACTGTGATTACTTGAAGGATATCTGAATACGTATGTTACCATATATTGTCATAGGCTCTTAGGTTGTACACGAAACACGTCTTTACAGAGATATCAGGAGTTAACTGAGAACAAAAACGCCTTACGGGTTTTGATCTTGAACAATAATGTGCGCTGTCCTAAGTGAATCGTTAAACGCTTCAAACTAATCGTACTGTTAAAATGTATACTGAAATAACCGGACCTTCCCACCATTGTACTATACCTTCAGATCCTTTTAGCTTAATTCCCAGGAAAGAAGTGAAACTAGCCACGGCTGACAAAAGCTGATGCACGTGTTGTACCGCTGAAAATAGTGACATTTTTTTCTTTTCAAAGAACAGTTAAGTCAACCGCGGGGAGTTGGAAATGACCCAATTTTTTTATCGATACCTGGTGTGATGTGTTTAGCAAAGAGACAGTGTGACAAAAGTGTCTTCGGCATTTCATCAACGGATCAAAAATACAACCTACCAATCAAGATATAGGTCGTCTTACTGTTTACCGCCATCTTTGTTGTTGGTAGATGGAAAATGTTCCATACCAAATTAGAACACAAAAATTCACGGAAAGAACGGGTGTGGGTGAAGGAATTAAGCAAGTTATGTATGGTTAACTAGAGGATGTACAAAAGTACTGTGTTTAAAAATTCTCGGTCAGTGGCCTGACATTGGATCAACAATAATTTCAGCATACCATGGACGATACCGTAGGTCGAATCCAATGAGTTAATATGAACCTATGTGCGCATAGTAAAGGTTAGAGTACAGGCAGCCGGGTGCAGACTTTCACTAGAAATCACATGTGCGGTGACTTAAAAGTAGAGCTATGGTAAAAGGATATATGAATAGATTTATCAGTGGTTCTACGATTGGTGGAATTCGCTCAGGCGCTGGTTTTATGTAACTAATGCACACCAAGGGTAACAAATCAATCACATTCAACTAGTTTTCTCATCCATATTGGACGACGTACGCAAGAATGGAATTGTACATCTTTCCTCAGGTCTTTGTGCATAGAACCTATCTCTGTCCCGGAAATATGTTCGGGTGGGATGTTAGTTTATATCCTAATCATGGTGCTTCATATTTTTAGGTAGAAATGTGTGAAACAGAAAAGTAGGACGGAAATCGTAGGAGGATTTTACAGCCAGAATTCCGATTATAGATGGTACATTTAGTCTTTCAGAGCGTGAATTCTTGTTTAGAACGATGAACGTCTTCAGGTAAACACCTTGAAGGGTGCATCATATATGAACAATACGAGTGACAATAGGGATATACGCGCTTGAATGTAGTAGTTTCCTTGAAACGAAGCCACCGAATAACCATTTTTTAGAGAACTGATTGACATGCTTTCTCTTACTTTCTGAAAAACCGGCATTGGAGATCGCATTTATCCGGCAAAAGAAACAGTATACAGCTAAACAAAACACTGCATGTGTGTACAGTTTGGTTAAAGTGACCAGTCCATGTACAAACTGCTTCATCAATTCGGAGTCATTCATAGTAAAATCTAAGAAGTCTCGATAGTGTTATTCTCCTGCCCTAGTTTGATTGCCACTTTGTGTGACTGAGAGCCATTGGTTTGTGCGCGCAAACTCGCCACCTCACTGAACACTTAACACCTTCCCGTTACTCTGAATAAACGTCAACTTTAGTGTGGATTTTTGATGCCCACATTGGCTATTTTTATCGGACCTTCAAGCAATCGTCGCAAGCTAGGTTGATCAGCTATTTTGAATCTTGACACGCACGACCGTCTCT